TCTGTATGCTGTTTTTAATTTAAATAAAGACTTTGTAAAAATGTTAAGAGATTTCAACAAAAAGAAAAAGTCAATTAAATATAAAAAAAAAAAAAAATGAAACATTAATTAATCAAACACAGAAAATTTTAATTGTATATTATTTATAAATGTATAATTGTTTAATGTTAAAATAAATTAAATCTTCAAATCTAGTATTTTTTTATATAAAAAGTAAAATCTAAATAGCTTATATAATCGAACAATAATAACGTAACATAATCTTTTTGATAGTACATATTGTAGTCATAAAAAAAGTTATAATGTTTATAACAGGAATGCTTACATGAATATTCAAAAAATGTTTCAAGTCATTATATATATAATGTGTCAATTAAATAACTAATAATATTTAATACAAATTAATTGAAGTATTACTATATTGGTCAAAATTGAATTTGATTACAACCATAAAACTTTTTTGCGACTTCCATAATTTTTTTTTTCCAAAGAAAATTTTATGAAAATTTTGTATCCAGTTCCGAAATCTGAAGTATAAAAAAGCGTTATAAATGTTTAACTACGAAAATGTTGTGGATTTCCATAATTTTTATCATTTTGTCAAAATTTAATCAAACGTTCGTCACACACACATATATATATATATATATATATATAAATACATATGTATATGTGTATTTTTTTTTTTTGATAAAACGTTTATACGTTAATTGATGCTCAATTACTTATCACCAATATAATATCGGAAAGTAAAAACGATGATATTCAATTTCAGTAAAATTTTCAAGTCTTCATGAATTCATATTATACATTTTTTTTTTTTGTTAAAAAATGGTAGGTCGTAAATCTTGTAGCTTTTTATAATTTTTCGTTGATTTCTTTTTAATTACTAAGAAAATTTTTGGGAAATATAAAAAAATACAATATAAACAACTTTTCTAATTACAAATCTCAAAAGTTTGTGATGATCGGAGAAAAATTGTGTCCACTGACATAGAAAAACACATAATGAAAGAATCAAAACATTCTTTATTTCAATTAAAATCAAAAAATGATAAACTAAAAAAAATCACTAATGTTCATAAATAGTTTTAAGAGTAAGTATACCTTGAAGATTCTTGAAAGTATTAGTTAAATTATAATAGTATGACAAACTTTTAAAATTTTTTTGAAGATTTCAGAATATATTCCATTTGAATTCAAAAAGTTAATTTGCATTTAATGTATTATTTGAAGAACAAATTATTTTTTATTTTATAGATAAAAATGTAAGTGGAGATTACTGAAAATGTTAAAACCATGTAAATATACCATATATTGAATATATATTGCAAAGTATTTCTTTATTATTTAATATTCTATTACTTTGGAGTTCATAGTGTTCACATATTTAAAATCATCGTTGATGAAAAACCAACAAACATAGTTATACATGTTATATGCATTATATCTTAAGTACACCCAAAAGCATACCAGGTATAATATAATAAAATACTGGACAGTCGTTTCTTTTCACTTAATTTTATGCAAAATTACGTAGCATTAATTTATTACTTATTTATAAATGACAAATGAAAAACTCTTCCATCATAAAGTGTACATATTAGATCCTCGTAATTCGATAAATTTTATTAATGTTATACATTAGGATTCAGACTCCAACCATGAACTAAAATAAATTTTAATTATTCAATTATAAATTATAAATCTTAAATAATTTTCAAAATTATAATTTAAAAAATGACAAAATAAATACGAAAAAAAAATTATTTTAATGATATAAAATTATAAAATATATAAATATTTTAATATTAAAATTTTTGAATAATATTAAATATTTTAAACTTATATATTTTACTAGTAAAATAAAAATTACTTTAATGATATAGAATTATAATATAAAATAAACTAATCAAAATTATTTTTCATAATAATTATCACCTATCATTGAATTCATTTTTTTTTTTTAACTTTGGTAGCTATCAAATTTCTAAAAACTTAATGAAAAATATAATTTATTTATTTTATAAAAATATTATTATTATATGTGTGTTTTAAAATGTATTTCGATCAAAAGGAATAAACAAACAGTTTTAAAATATTCAAGCTCAAACCATAGTAAACGGAAAAAATGAAGGTAAGACATTTATGTACAACCATTATGAGCTTCTACTTGTGTTCAAAATTAAAACTTCACAAATAGTTTTAAGTTACATGTTCTTTATTCGTATTTATTAAAACTGTTTTAATTCAAACGTTTTGTTCATGTTTATCATGCAGTTAAATTTTGACTAATATTATTTTACATAATAATATAATAATAGTTATAATACATTATTAATTCCGTGAGAAAGTAGTTATTCATTTTTATAATCCATAATTACATATTCCGCGTAGTATTTTTTAAATTTATACGTACTATTTTATGTTTTTTAAAAATGCTTTATACATGTTATAAGGAACAATAAAATTACCATATTGACGCTCAAGATTATAACTTCAGCAACTCAAAAGATGATAAATTTGTGTTTGGTATGATAATTAAATTAACATTATATAATTAAGATGGTTTTCAATACTTATAATATCATTGAAATAGTGTACTAACTTTATTGTACTTAATGGATAATTGTTTTGAAGATCCTTTATTGTCATGGTTTGGCTCATATTTAAAAAATCGTAAGCAATACGTAAAAGTGTTTGGTTATAAGTCTGCCATTTGTAACATACCATCTGGTGTCCCTCAAGGAGGACATATTTCTCCCCTGCTTTTCTCCCTATTCATAAATAGTATCAAAAGTGTTATTCGAAATAGTAAATTTTTATTATTTGCAGATGACCTGAAGTTATTTTTAAAATTTAGCTGTGAAAGTGACTGCCAACTGCTTTAAAATGATTTATATGCATTAAGTGATTGGGCTGATAATTTGGGTTTAATATTTAATATTCACAAATGTCACTCTATGTCCTTCCACAGAACTCATCATCCTATTATGTATAATTACTTACTAAAATAAGTATCCCTTAATGTTGTTAGTACAACAAATTACCTTGGTATCACATTTTATCAGGAACTTAACTTCCTTGATTATAAAGAAAAATCTTGTTGTAAGGCACTTAAAACACTTAGTTTCGTTAAGAAAGTCTCCAATAAATTCAACTTGTTATCCCCGTTAAAATCATTGTACTGTGCTCTTTCACGATCTATTCTAGAATATGCGGTGGTTATTTGTGACCCCAATACCGTAATTGTTAAAAACCAAGTAGAGGGAGTCCAACGAAAATTCTTATATTTTGCTGCCAGGATACTCCATATTACTCACCAACCACACGACTATGAGCCAGTATTAACTAAACTTGAGTTAACAACACTGATAGGCGTATTTCTGCTAATCAAGACTTTTTGAGAAAGCTTATGGATGGATCTATCGATTGTCCTGATATATTACGTGAAATTAATTTCAAAGTCACTAACTTCCATTCCCGATCACATTATCCTTTCTTCATCCCCTTCTACACCACTAATTATTCATTTAACCTATTTTCAAAATTATGCACATTGCAAACGAGAACATCCCCACTTTCACTTTTGTATAACTTATTAAATTATAATTAATTCTGTATGTATGCGTTTTTAAAAATTGTACTTTAGGCCACGGCCTGTTTTGTAAAATAAAATAAAAATAAAATAAAATAATTTTATTCCAAAAATAAAATATCTCGTTGTGAGAAATCTTAGCTTTTCAAAATTATTATTTTCAAAAATACGAGTGTATATGCAAATAAAAAAAAATCTATAAACCCCCTTGATATCAACAAAATATAATTTTAAAAATGTCAATCATTTTTATAAAATGTCAATAAGAGCTTATGTGTATGTCAATATTGATAAGACTTAAAACAAAATCAACTAATATTTTTACTTTTTGTTGCTTATATATAAATTATATATTTTATTCTTGTATAATTATGAATCACTTTTGAAATTCTTACTTATTAATACATTGGTAAAATCTAAATTTTTAGGTATTATGACGAATAATTAGAACATCATTTTCGCTTTTCTTTCAAAAAATTAATTAATAGTGTCTTAATTGTTTGTCAATTTGGTTTTTATTGACGTCATCGTCAGACGTACCTTCGTTCACGCACTAAGATTATCAGTATATCAACATCATGCAATGTACAAATTAACGATATTTTTAATACATCACATCAGTAGCGGTGAAAATCAAGCTTTGAACATGCGAAAAATCAAACATTTTTAGATTTTCATCACCCTTTTCCTGCCCAAAACAATAAAACCATAACATAAATAATGTACACAACGAATCGATCACGCATCACGAAACATGTAAACAAACAAACCATTGCGGATTATGTATACATTTTCGTGAGCTAGTGTTGACTACTCTCTAAAATAACATTTATAATTTGACCACCTACTCACAGTAAAATCTCATATCAACTACAAAAATTACTTTTGTACAAAATATTTTAATAAAAATAATTATTATTTCATAATGATTAGATATGTAAGTTGGTATATTAACCTACTGAATTATTATAAGATTTTCAAAAACCCTAACTGTCTATTTAATATTTCGTGGTACAAATATAATTCAACGAACGACCAACGTTAGTTATGTTTTTGAACAAAGGCACAATATTTTTTTCGATGAATATTTCAATTTGGAAAACGTTTTGATGCTGATTCGTCATTTATTTTTCGATTTCCTTATGGTGATGCACCCAATATGGAATATATCTTTACATTTTAAACGAGACGGGTGGAAACTAATCGCATTTAAAACGCTTTCCAACTGTATCACCGCAGTTGAAAACTACGTGTGAGTGGATGCGAAAATTAACTATTTCCAAAACGTTTGGTCCGGCGAAGCGGACGGGAGGTCCGTTGCTCGGAAAACCCAAAACGTTACGATACCAGAGGGGTACGGTTCCGTGTGTATGTAATTACAATATGTTATAGGTTTACTTACGTTCTACGGGATGACCGCCATCTGCCGCATCGTAGTTCACGCGAGCGCGTCGGAAAACGGAAAACGGATTCAGGTACAATACGCACGTTAAACGCGATGTCTGTCGCGTGAAAAAAAAAATGCCACATCGACCAAACAATAACCTAATAAATGTACCGCGGTGGTGGTCGCTCTCGGACCGTCACCGAGGTTAGCTGAGATGAACGTGTGTAAATAAACTATACGCGCAGCGGCCGGGTCGTGATGGTCGTCGCGAAATCGCGTCGTCGTCCGCGGAGCACGGGGTTAGTGCGATCCGCGTGCACAGCGCCTTACAACAGTCGTCGTGCGGCCGACGTGCGCGTGTGAAACCCTTCCGGCGGCGGTGCACTTCAATCGCGCGCCGCGCGGCCGGCCGTTAATACCGCACCATCTGCTCGCGCAACCTCCGTCCGGCACGTCACCGTTGGCCCGCGCGGGTGGCCTGGACGTGCGGGTGGGCTGTGTCCGCGTCGGCCCATTCGGTACTCTCCAGCGATATGGGAAAGTGTCGCGCGCCCGTCGTCCGTCCGTCACCGTCGGCGACGACTTCCCTGTCTCGATAACGTCCGTTTGTCCGCGAACGCATTTCCGCCAGCGAATCCGAATTACGTTTCCCTCGATGCTCTCTCTCTCACTCATCACTTACTGATGGTCGTCACCTTAGTCTTACGACGGACCAAAGTGCTATTATGCCGCCGTAGTGTATACCCCTTCGTTAGGTATATTGTTACTTATATAGGCGTGAGGTCTACATTTGTAGACCGTTTTAATTGATGACAAATTCAATTAATTTTAATTATTTTTGTTTGTATTTATAAACCATCTACCGCGCAGCTGCAACAATAACCAGTTTATACCTATGGTGAGTTATCTCTGGTTCTAATATTCTTGTAAATGCTCTTTCGGCATTCGTAATACCACAGAACAATAGTAATACGGGCATGAGACTTACCCGTATGAGCCATACTATGAAATTATAAATAATTCTCACCTCCCATGCAAATTATGTAGGTAATATATGTCTATATACATAATAAATTGTCATTGTACATAATTAATAATAAATGCTATGTAAAACTATTTTAGAACCAATTTTTGCAAGTAAATATACAAATGAAATTTCTTATTTAGTTATTTATTTTATATTGAATGATAAAATTGTAGATTAGTTATTACTAGGCTTAGGGACTTATAGCTCTAAAAAGTACACAAATACGAGTATGCATGAAAATATGCTTCTAAAATCATTAAATTATGCATTATAATATGCATTTATATGCATTAAAAAAAAAAAAAAAGACCACATAGTACACAAAATAAAACGTGTCCATCGGATGTATGTTTAAACTCTGAAACAAAATGTAGTCAGCTATTCGTAGACTGTTATACTTTCGGCATTACACAATTTTATAAAATATACCAGTACGACATTTTACGAATGATTCGATGTTGCGTAGTTAGCAAAAACAACGACGGATAATAATCGACTGATCTAAATAAATAATCTATTATTCTATATCGACCAGTAGCGTATCCTGGATTCATTTAACGGAGGTGTTTTCAAATGTAATAGACTTCTATTAAGAAGGGAGATCTGCCCCCCTCCCGTATTACATCAATAGATACCATTTATTTATATAAATTATTATATAAATGAAAATTATTCTATTAAAACGGTATATGTAAAATCTACAAGTTGTATACAACGTTTATTTAAATTATACTGTAAGTAAGTTTGCAATTAGGTAAAATACGGTCGATGGGGAGTATTCTAACACCCATATTACCCCCCTTAAATACGCCTTTGATATCGACTATTATCTTTATCGACATTCAGTCGATATCCAGGGAGTTATACGTTCGATACGGGTTTATAGTATTATTTATACTTATACAAAAATTATAACCAGATATGAGAGGTAATTTGCAGACAGCATTTTACTGAAAGTATTAAGTCTAGTGATGGGCATAATTGAATGATGTCAACAATCGAATTATAAGTATTCGACTCATTTTTATAATCGAGAGATGTTTCGAAATAATCATTCGAAATATTAATAATCGAGAAATGTGATTAGTGATGGGCATAATCGAATAATTTCAATAACCGAATGCGAATTTCTGGAAAATTCAGTTATTATTTCACTTTCATCGAATTACTCTTTTTTATTTATATTAGCCATAGCTAACTCATTCAGTCTGTTTTCCGACATGGTGCTTCTTAAAAAAAAAATTTAAGCGATTAAGTGCTGAAAACGTTCTTTCCGGAGTGAAAGAGGTAACTGGTAACGTGGCGAATAATTGTAAAAGTATTTTAATGTTAGGTCAAAGATTGGTGCGATGAGAGAGTGAATCAAAAGCAGAATTCGGTTTTGGAATAGTATTTTGACTCCATTTTCGCCTCCATATGATCAGGTCAGCTCTGATTTTAGATGAGGTATCATCATGGAGATCTTGGACATATATTTTAGCAGCTTTTATAATATTTTTATCGTTATACATATTTAAATTGGCCGGAATAAGTCCTTCAAGTGGCATAACATCGATAAGCATTTGATTAAAACGAGCATTGATTCTATTAAATAGTCAAGATACATTATACATACAAACACGGCCCATGGGGGAGGCTATAGCCCCCTTATCCCCCCCTTGGCTACGCCACTGGTTATATGTAACTATAATTTTTAATTTTAAATTTGAAAAATTTTTCAAAATATGCAAAATAAACATAACAATTTTAAAACATGCACTCTCCTGCAAAATTTATCAAATATGCAAAAATATGTACATTCAAATTTCAGATCCGATACCATGACATCGAGAAACGAATTTATTTTGCACTCTGCTACATTTAACAACAATTAAAAAAAGTATGCAAATGCTAGAAGTCCCTAAGCCTAGTTATTAATAATGCTTAGCTACAGATTTTGTAAATTATCTAGATAAATTTATCAAGATAGCTATGATTTTTATCTAGATGAAAATTAGACGTCAATTTTATTTTTTACCTAGATAAGATAACAATATGAAGTTTTTATCTAGATAACATATCTAGATAAATTTATCTAAAGCACAACACAAATTATAACATAGTAAGTCGCGTACCCTACATTCAGTGGTGCACGCGGGGGTGGGGGGTTTAGGGGTTATGCCCCCCCCCTGCAATTTTCTCCGATGTCTTGGTTAAAATTTACAAATTATACAAATTTGAAATATGAAGAGCATGTATTGAATACCTAGTATCATTGATTATAGAATAGTCCATTCTATTATCAATGCTATTATATATATCAAAATATATTAAGGATTTGCATAATTTTGTTAATTGTAAAATGTGTTATATTTTTACCTTTTACCACCCCCCTCCCCACGAAAAAAAAATCCTGTGTGTGCCACTGCCTACATTTGTAGATCACTCGTAATATTGTTGATATGTTTCGTCACACATTCGTCAACGGTCACGATAATGCTGATTACACAATAGTATAGATAAACAACAGCTTCTACAAAGTACACGGTATTACAAGTTATTTATAAATACTAAAATTGTCAATATTTATAGCTGGTCTACGATTGTAGACCACTCACCTATTGAAGGTATATGCGCGCGCGTTCGTCGTACGAGTGTATTGTACATCACTCTCGGCCGCAGCATCCGTGAATACCCGTCCCCAGAGACCGTTTCTTAATCATACACGTGACGTGCATGGTTCGATCTTTGGGTTTATTACGTACGTTCACGAATTCACGATGAATCTAGAATAGCCGAAAAACTCGAATATTTATTTTCATATATATTATATGTACCCGTATCTAGTGGTGCAGCTTTCTTCTTGACCCGGATCAATGTCTTTATAAGTCGGTGAAAACGGAAGAATCTCGTAAAACAAGTTTAATGAACAAGAGGAGCCTTGCGTAACGATATTAGCCGAATGAAGTTAAAATAAAGAAGTTTAATACATGTCGCAGCGGAAAAAAGTTCTCGTCAAACATTTTTAATCTTTAACCAATTCGATTACCATTGTATACGATCAAATTTTATTATTTATCTAGTGCTATAAAATAAAAAACCATAAAAATAATAAATAAATAATTTCAAAAGAGTTTTTTTTCTCTTCAATTAAGTTGCGCGATTTCAATAAACTTTAATATTGACTCTACATTCATTGTTGAAATAACTACGACTATTTCAACAATTTTCAAAAATGAGTAGTGACCCGATTTTTCGGGGTAGTGTTTAGAATAAATTGTATGACTGCACAACTATCACTTGATAAATATACTATCATGGATGTAATTCAATTAACATTAAATATAAAATTTTAAAATATAATTTTGGACTGAAATAAAGCTAGCAATATAGACAAGAACTATTTCAAATGGATTTATTTGTATTTTGTTAAGTCTCAATCACAGAAAACCTGTTAGAAAAACATATCAATAATGTGCCTGTTATAAAAATGGGATTTATACGATTATTTTACGGAAGAAACTCCGTTAGTGTAAAATACCGAATTGTAATACGATATGTATCATATCTTAAATATCTTAATATTTATATATACTATTATAATGTATAAGATAAGTAATCGGATACCTGGTAGGATGCCAACTTTTTTTCCGGTTCAAAGCATACTATTTTTTTTACCCGAGTTAATTTGTTTAATCACACGACTGCACCCGAAAACACAAGTAGATAAACACATGCTTTTTTATCTCGACAAAAACTGGTCCCCCACTATATTATTTACTGTTGATTGTACGGTCAACAATAATTTAATATAATTTAAAAGTAAATACTTAATAAGCACGTTAAAATTCTGGGCAAGACAAGCGAAGGATTTACGTATTATTTTGGATACATAACGGTCATTTGTCCTCGAAATTATCCCATTTACTCGATGTTTTCTTTAGTTCTTGATTGTATTGTATTTCTACCTACGTGGTTACCTCATAAAATCTATTTCAGGATACAATTAATTCAATTTTAAAATAGCTGAAACTTTTACAATTTTAGAACTGTGTTTTAGAACACTGTAAATAAAATGTTTCTATCGTATTTGATGTACACCTTTTATGTTATTAATTTATTGATAGGAATTAATATACTATCGATTTACGTGTAATATTTATAAATATAATAGTCTAAAAAATAAATCGTTCATTCTTTATGTAATATTAACATTACATATATCTAATATTTGTTGTATCGTGGGTGCAGCTGTAATTTTATTATAATATACACTCTTGCGCGTCTCCCGTAAATATGTTCTTTAATTTTTGAAATATAAATATTAGTTGAATGACTTACCGAGCTGTTCAATTTTATTTAGTTATAATAATTGTGT